GGGCCTCAACACACATGCCTTGGACCTTACGTCGTTCTGCCATGGCATCCTGCATGTACAGCAAGTCGACCCTACACGTGTTGGAACGCACCGAGCTGCAATGCATGGCCTGCAGGAGAGGGCCACACTCAGCTCTCGTGAACCAGTCTCTCACTTCTTGTTCGATGTCCTCGCGTTTCGCATCCTTCCAACCGCCTAAAACAACCTGCCAATCATCATGCGCGGGATTCCCACGAGCCCCACGAGGTGAATGCGTCGGAGTGTATGCTGAGGTGACACTAGGAGACCTAGAGCGAAAATCCCTCATCTCCTGTTCCATAGCCGCCAAACGGAGCTCAAGAGCCGCAGTTCGTTCTAAGTGCGAATCCTGCCTCGACTCCAAAGACTGCACCTTATCTGCTACTCCCTGAATGGAATCTCTAGTGACCTGGATGGCCTGCATCTGCTCGTGTTGTCCTCGATGAAGCCGGTCGATGCCCGCCTGAAGTGAGGCTGCCCACGGCGGGGGGACATCATCACCAATGTCGTACTCCTGTGGCAGCGGGCGTTTGTTCTTGTCGGGGGGGACAGGCCCCCCCCCAAAAAGGGGAGGGGGTTGCAGCCCCACTGGCGGTCCTTTGGCGGCAGCGGGATCGAGGGTCGGAGGTCGTGCTTTCTTTTCGGGGCTTGTTTTAGGCGAGGACTTGGGGGCTCGGGTGGCTTGGTGTTTAGCAAGGAGATTAGCGGCCACCGCTGCTGCTTCAGCCTGCTTGGCTTCAGTTTCCGCCAGCCCCACCCCTCTCCCCGGTCCAGGATCACACGGCCCACCCACGGCATCCCCCAAGGCGGCCCGGAGCGCATCCTGGGCCGCTTCTTGCATAACCATGTCGGGCTGCTCGGCCCCCAGAAGAGCCCCTGAGCTAATTGGCGTCCCAGCGTCATCCAACCCCCCCCCCCCCCCTCCAGTTGTTCGGAACGGTGCAGGTGGGGCAACAGGAGCGTACTTTCGTCCGACCCCGCCATCCCGACGAACGACGACACGACGAGAGGGACTGGTGGAGTAATGCACCCGGGAGGCCTCAGAACAGGACTACGAGGAGGAGGAGAGCTCAAGCCTGCCCGACGCGGCCCGGAAGGCGCGACCGCGCTCCAGGGGCACACACGCCAGCTGACGGCGGACTTGAGCCAAAATGGCTTGAGCCAAAATGGCTACGGTTCGGGTTTAGGGTTTCGGGTTTAGGGGTTAGGGGTTAGGGTTTAGGGGTTTAATACCATACCCTACATAGTAGGATCGGATCCTTATTATAAGGACCCCAAACTAGAGATAAGGTAGCCGTAAATTTTTGGAAACTCCCCATGTTTAGAAGCCAGGATCACCACCCGGAGCCATGTCAGGCCTAAGGGCTCCACTTGGAGGATCATGGGACTAAGTATCTAGGGCTATAAATACAGTAACTGTAGATACACTAAATTACTTATAACTCCGGCTAAAGTATTTGTAACCTTACTTACTAGGCCCCATGATCCTCCAAGTAGGGCAGGGTTTATAAGTGTATCAGGTCCTGAGCTGGCCCCTTTAAATTGCAGCTGTTCGCCTGAAGCCTCATTGTTTGCGTACTCGGACTCGGACCTTTTAGCTAAAGGGAAACCATGGCTAGGTTCAGCATGACGGTGCTAGGGGTTCAGGGGAAAATCTCTGCTGAACCAACACTTACACGGCGTGCGGCCAAACACGCAATTACGCGACACCCCCCGAACCAAGAATTACACAACACCCCAGCACGGAATTATGATTCCCGCCGCGCAGAATTACGCAACACCCCAACTGAAGAAAGAATTGTGCAGCGACCCCGCCAAACCCACAGTCACACAATACACGCACCAAACACAGGCTTGTGCAACACCTCTGCCGAACCAGAAGTACAGTACGCAACACCCCTTGCATCCTCTGCCACACGGTCCCCTTGCCCACCTGGCCCAGTTGCCCCACTCGTCCCACGTATCCCACTGGCCTCACTTAGGCCCCGCCTTACGGAAGACAATCTAGCTTGGTACTGGCTGCGCGGCGTAGCGCGAGCGTACCACATCAGTCAGCCACACAGGCAACTTTTCGCAGCCTACTTTTTCAGTATGTAAGGAAAGATACCAAACAGGCCTTGGCCGGGTCCTTACGTTGGCACCCCTGTCCTGGCCCGAGGGGCAAAGGTGAGGATGGGAACTTTAGATAACTTTAGGGCATTTCCATTCGTAGGGCAAGGCCTTGCCACTCTTGGACTGGGGAGCGACTGGCTTTCTGGCAGTACTGCAAAGAGCCACAACACCGGACGTGTGACACCAGAGGTTCTGGCGTAGAGGACCGCCACCAACTTGGCCTGTAGATGCAGTGCTTCTGTTCTTGCACCCAAAGCAGGACCAAGACTACTTTTTGGTTGCGGCTGCGCAGCCGTGCAGAACCTAAATTCGGTAAGTTCCTCGGCGGCGTCTCGGGAGAGCTGCGCAGTGTCTCCCAGAGCCTGGCCATTGGACATCAGAAGTGTGGAGTAAACAGGGATGGACTTCGGAGCACCTCTTTCCCGTTACCCGAGCTGAAGTCGACGCTTCGAATTTGTCGAGTTCGCCTGCACTCGGCAGCAAAAGAAGAATTTGTAGATTCTAAGAAATCATATTGCGACGACTAGCTTGACTATGTCATTCTTTAGGTTCTTGTGCTGACTCCTCTTGTCGCTCCGACTTCGCTGTTGGAAGCCTGATCTCTGCTCTTGCTGCAGCAAGGACGGGAAAGAATCCGTTGTCATGTTGCTGTCAGTTCTTGTTGATGCTTCTGGATGCTGGCGTGATGGTGATGGTGGTGACCACACAGTTGAGGTTTCTCATGCTGGGACTGCCTCTTCGTCACGGCGTTCAGCAGACCGTTGATGCAACGTCCGCGGATTCCTGCAAGGCTCTGACAATGCAACTCTGCTGGACGCTGCACTCCGATCCACCTGTCTGATGTCTGAGGCCACCAAAGTTCCGCGTGCTTTGCACATGAAATCATCTCTGCGAGTCTGTGCCTCCACACGATTCGGACTGAAAGTTTCAAAGCTGTCTTCAAAATCACTTGACCACTGGGTGGCTCCCGACATCTTTCGCCGCAGGATAACAGCTGAATAGATCAATGAGAAGCGATCCAAGTCTATATGGCCTGCCCTACTGACCTAGCGTGGCTGCTCAATTGGGTCTCCGTCAAGGAACGATAGTACAGTTGTGATGATATGATATGATGTGGTATGATGTGATATGATATGATGTGATATGAGAGGATGTGCCATGATATGATACATCTCTTGTTAAGTAAAAGTAGGGATTGCACCAGGGAGGCCTGCGTGAATTCGTCTGAGAAGTCTTTCAGTCCTCCAGCCCGAAGACGCGGAACTTCCAGCATCCTCTTCAACACACTCCACTCACGCAAGCAAGCGGCCGTCTCATGCAACCACATGCAACCGCACCGCTTCAGCCGTTACCGCTCGATCCTCTGATTGCAGCTTGCCACGCTTTCTGCCACTGCGCACACGACAAAACTGCTAAGCAAGCTGCATGCGCACGCCGCCGCCGCGCTTTTGGCGGCGGGCGATATATGCAGAAGCAGGGAGGCTCGCATGGGCCGTGGGTTTGAAATTTCGCGGTGATCGCAGGCTGTTCCACATGCGTCTTTACTGGCACCGCGGCCCAAAAGCCTTGCTCCCCAGAGCCGGTACTGCTGTTGCGGCTGGCGGCACACCGGCCGCCCCTCAAACAACTCATTGGAACCCGACTTCGTGTACATCATACATCTGCACAAAGCCTCGCTGCGCATCTGCTAATTTGCAGATGCGCATGCCACCACGGGAACTTGTTAAGCAAATCTATAGTCGGAGCTCGAGACCAGACTTGGTTGGATCTCAGATTGATTTGCTTCTGCCGCTTTCAGCGTGGCAACTTTCAACGAAATGGGTTTCCTTGAGAGGAGCTGTCCAACCTCGTCTGGTGCCCGCGGTATCACTCGTACGGTGACCCGCTCCGTCTGGCGGAATGCTGAGATGACGGAAATGACGGAAATCTTGAAATCCCTTTCGAAACGAGATTTCCGCAGCGGTGCATCCGAGCTCGCCAGCCCCGAGCCCTCTGTCCCAGCTGCGCCCCCAAAATGGCGCCATTCGAGTTCTCAGTGAGTCCTAGCACCTGCCCATTTAGTTTTGGTGCCAGGGGCTGGCATCCCGACGAGTTGCAGCACGGTGCAATGCGTTTCAGGAGTGCTAAACGCAACAAAACTGGCGAGGCTCGTGGCGGCAGCTTTCATTTTCCTTCTCTGGCTGCTACAACTAGTAATGCTGACTTATACTGCGCAAGCCGCAAGAGCCTCGCATGCCCACGCAGCCGGAATACCCGATGTTAGCAGAACCCCGGTCGGGGAGCTCTTCGGGTCCCGAAGCTTCAAAGAGCCTCCTCCAGAGCCGGCTCAAGCCCACTCCACGTTCACAGCTACTCTGCTCAGAGCAACGACCAGCGACTCAAAGATCGTAGTCGCTTAAGCCTCAGCTGCAAGTTATGTCAACAAGTCAGAACCCGGTCTAAACCGAGCGATGTGAGACGTGGTTGCTGTGTTCGCCCCAGTTTGGGTTTTCGCCGAGGAGAGAAAGGGGGAGGGAAAGAGAGAGCGGGCTTTCGCGTTTAGGGACTGGCCGATGCGCAGTGCCCAATTTCTCCCAGTCACGTTATGGGCCCAGTGCGTTTGATTTAGGCCGAGGTGCGCCGTTTGAGACCGCAGTCCCACTTATAGGTTTGCATGCTGTGGAACTCGCTTCACAAAGCCTCTGGCAGCACGCACGCGATGATCAAGAGAGGCAGTGGCAGCACACTAAATACTCCAAAGTTTGAGAGCAAGACGTCTGCCAACAAGAGCCGCAAGTCGTGCACCACTGATTTCGCTCTGCAACGCAGCCCGGAAGCCTTTCTCTGCCTACCACCGTCATAAGAGTCGTAGTGACATGACTGAACATCCACTAGAAATCCCGTTGACGTGCGCTAGTGGATGCCGTGCTGACCAAGAGGCTCTGCCAATAGAATCGGTTGACGAATCCGCTCCAGCACTTGAACGTGTCATCATCCAAGCGTGCGCATGTGTGGTCCCTTCCAGCAGCCACCTTCACAGCTGTCCGGCCCACCCCTAGGTCGATAAATGGGAGGTTGTCGCCCATCTCGTTGGGGAAGTCGCCGATGTTAGGTTGTGAAGGAAAAAGTTGAGGATGGGCACCGCCCAAATGGTTACGGCCCCAGCATTTGAGACCTCCGCCCTCGAGAATGGCACACACATGCCACGCGCCATGCGCGATGTAGATGGCCTTCCTGGAAAGGTGATCTATACTTAGACAGATATTACAAAACGGAACTGATGGGAATCCCAAGCCACTGACACGACCTTCCAAGACATAGTAAGAAGACTTACTACTACATCATGCGGGGGCGGAATGGGTACGGTATACTCCGAGCTTCCGTGGGGTGCCTGCATTGGTGCCCAAATCGACGACCGGCAAGCCATCACCCATGTCCTCTGGCTGCCTGCCAACATTCGGCGTCACCGATGAGGGTTGACCCCTGCCCAGCTGCCCGAAGTCATTGACGCCCCAACACTTGACCTCATAGGCAAGTCTTTCAATTCCGCAGCTTCCCTGTGCAACCGTACAACAATAAGGATTGTAGCAAAAGCCTACGGATAACTACCGAGACGGATCAGCACTAAAAGGCCCGAACCGAGCTCTAAGAAGGGCCGGCTGGCTGCACCAGTGTTGAGCAAAGCACACGCGGAACGATAGCCAACTGACACTTGCACTGCGTGGAGGTCGGTACCCAGATCGATTGGCACGTACGTTGGTGCAGACTTGGTGTCACCGATTACGCTGCCGCGGCCAAGTTGGCCTTCCCAATTCCGCCCCCAACACGTCAGTTGCCGGCCATCTGTTGGGTGTTGGACAATGGCACATGCACTCTGAGCGCCAGCATCGCCGTCAAGTGCAGGGTTGCCCGCCAGGTCCACAGTAGGCAAGTTGTCACCCATCTCGTCCGGAGCATCCCCGGCCTCGTCATTGTTGTTTCCGTAGCCGCCGCTCACAGCATTGGGTGAAAAGCCGAGCTGTCCGGCATCACTGAAGCCCCAACATTTAACGGACTGATCGTCCAAGATGGCACAGGTGAAATGGTGCCCGGCCATCAGTTTCACGACTTTGCGATTGGAACCTACATCCACCGCAGGCAGCACATCCCCCATGCCTGTCACAGGCCAACCTGTGCCTCTGTTAGCGTCGTCGCCCAAGCCAAGCGGCCCCCGCCTGTTGTCGCCCCAACACTTTGTCTCCTCGTTGTCAAGCAGAGCACAAACGTGATTGCCTGAAGCCTGAGAAGCCAAAGCCGTTGCGGTGCGGCCCTGTCCAAGGTCCACCTTGTTTCCAGCTTGGGCTCCGTAAACGCTCGAACCAACGCACCATACCTTGCTAGGAACGTTGGCGCTCTCCACGATGGCGCAGGTGCCTCTCTCAAAGGCTGCGAGGTTGGCCTGAACGAATGCTGAAAAGTGCGCGCTACATCCCTCTACTCGGCCTGTGCCTGCAAGAGGCCCTTCACGTCACCCCAAGCCCTGTGCTGCAAGCTACTGCAGGCTGCTGAGTCCTAGGCCAATGCTTGAGGGGCAGTCGTCGTTGTGGTGGACGTCCTTGCCGCGCAACTGATGCCTCACAAGCCGTCCGCTGCAAAACAGCAAGCGAATGTGTGACGCTTTCTGAGCATTGATCCTCTGAGGCCCCGGGCAGGTGTCGGGGGCGATCTGCGGAGGGTCCTTGTACCAGCTCTTATTCAAATACTCGCTCTGCACCCAGGCGGGCTCACAGGGGAAGTCGGCCACTGGCGAGCTGTCGCAAACTTGCTTTGCCGCGGGGTCAGGGATGTGGACTGCCAGGCCGGAAGTGTCGACGACCAGGTCCTGGCACGCCTGCACAGCAGCTTGGGTGAGGTTGCTCTGGAGCAGCTGGATGTAGCAAATCACCTTCTTGGCGGCAGTGTAGGAGGCCTCACGGCGCGAGTCCGAAGCAGCAATGGTGGCTAGCAACTGCAGCCACGTTTGGTTTACGTTTTGATAGCAAGTGTCGATGGCGTCGCAGCTGTCCGTCAGTTGCTGTCGGTACTCACAGAAGTGGCTCTCCAAGGTGGATTGCTCCACCCGGCAATCCTCGCTCTGGTTATTCACCGCATGGAGGCTGCTGAAGTAGGTATCTTTCAGGGTGCCCATGCTAGGTTCGAAGCTGCCAAAGAAGCTACTGATGGTGGCTGCGCAATCGATCATGGCCTGCAGATGCTCGGCCGTCTGCGGGTTGTAGCCGTCCAGGTAGGCCTGCATGCAGTTCCTGACGTCTTGGGGCAGCGCTTCGGTGCCCTTGCCAAGGTAGTTTAGCCAGGCGGTTCCGTTCTGGCCCGACAAGGTCTGCTCCGTGGTGCGGCAGGCGTCGTGGGAGCTGCTGGCGCCGCTCACAAGGGTGCTCAGGTTCTGGCTTTGAAGCTGTCGAGACGACAGGTCGCTGTTACATTGAGCGAAGCCCTCCGCAAGGTCAAGGAGCAGCTGCTCGTCCGCGAGGTGGGAGGCGTTGATCTGCGCGAGCAAGCTCTGCATCTCCGTGAGCACGGAGTGAAGGAGAGTCATCGTGGTGTTGCTCAAGCCGAAGTCCTCGCGCGTCAGGTTGTAATCGCTAAGGTTGCCGGCATGTTCCATCTCCGCGAGCTTCTGCAGGGCCAGGGCCTCCATGTCCTTGTGGACGTTGTGGACCTCATCCAGCCTTCCTTCCTCCATGTCTGCTCCGCGCTCTGCCGCGTGTTCCGCCAAGCTGGGGAAGGGCCAAAGCGAGTGCCCGCCGGACTTCCCGGTGACCTGCAGCAGCGCGGCCTGCTCGCAGGTCTCCTCGGTCGCCTCGCAGCCGGGGGCGAAGGACATGGCCTGTGTGGCCAAGGCCAAGGCAGCCACGAGGCCGGTCGAGGCCTCAACAGCAAAAGAATCAACTAGTCCGCAAAAGGAAGTATGGGCGCAGGTTATCCTTTGCACTGCCGAGGCACTGCCAAGCGCGAGGCGAAGCCGGGGAGCATGGTGGGAAGTCCCAGGCACGGCTTTAAGGTCGGTGGGCTGACGCGGCGTCAAAAACAACTTGGGCCACACAGCAGGAGTCACAGTACTAGGAGCATCGAGTCGAAGCAAACAAACAACCTCAGCTACGGCAGCTTCAGGGACTCTCAGTCCCATCCCTGATGAGGTCATTCGCTCCGGCATCGGGGACACCTCCCTGTCTAACAAAACACCGATGCTTTTTGATCACAGCTCCTCTGCCGGCTCACATGGGCCCATGCACAGCGACTGCATGCCTCAGCGGCTCTTCCCGGCAGCCCTTTTTTGTGGCAGGGCAGGGAGTGGGAGTGGGGAACGGATGTCTGCAGCTCCGCTACCCCTGACAACACACTCGTCCCAAAGGTTCATTCCCTTCTAGAGGTCAAGGCAGCATCCAAACAGACCGTATTTAAGCAGGAGCCACCGAGGACTTCTGGCAAATTCCCTGAACTCCAAACAACAGTAGAATTTCACGTGGGTGTAGCCGCGGATCTGAGCTCCGTGCCATTCCAAATCAAATTGAGCCAAAGGCCTGATGCTTCTGGCAGAGAGATAAAGATGAGGATATGACCGGTACGTCTTCTACTCGTTGGGGCGCAAGGCTTGGAGCTAAATGAACGAAACATCCATGAAAAAGAAAGGGCCGCTCAAAATTTCGGGAGTGGCACAAGGCCATGTGCTCAACGCGGGGTCTCCTTGCGCAGGGACCGCAGCTGGGGGTTCCCCAGAATTTGGAGAACTTGCAGTGGCGTGCGGGGAAATGATATTACCCGCGGGCAGCTTGGGAGATGAGCTTGCAACAGCTATAGTGGCAAGTGGCTTCAATCGTCGCTGAGCAATCTCATTCTCAAGGACCTCCGATCGCTAAACCACACATGCAACCCTCATCATGTTCCAGCCTTCCATACAGGAACCCCGAAGGACGGAAGCCAGAACGTCAGGATGGGGCTCTGTGCCGGAGACCTGCGAACCCGTGCGTCCTGAATGCACATATCATCCGAACTCCGAAGCCACTGAACCCCACAGCATTCCAAGTAATTCCTGAGCCCTAAGCATGACATCATCCCAAATCCTATCAAAATCATCCCAAACCCTGAACCCTACACCCTTTCTGCATCCAGCTCAACCCTAAACCCTAAACCCCAAGTCCTAAGCCGCAAAAGCTGGTGCTGCTGAAAGGGCGGCCTCTGGCGCAGGCAGGGCGCAGGCTCAGCAGCCCAAAACATGCTCGGCCTAAGGGTGTCAGGCTTTTCCGATAATAGGGGGCCCTAGGGCTTGGCGTTAGGGTTTCGGGTTTAGGGTTTCGGGTTTAGGGGTTAGGGTTTAGGGTTTAGGGGTTTAATACCATACCCTACATAGTAGGATCGGATCCTTATTACAAGGACCCCAAACTAGAGATAAGGCAGCCATGTTTAGAAGCCAGGATCACCACCCGGAGCCATGTCAGGCCTAAGGGCTCCACTTGGAGGATCATGGGACTTAGTATGTAGGGCTATAAATACAGTAACTGTAGATACACTTAATGCCTTATAACTCCGGCTAAAGTATTTGTAACCTTACTTACTAAGCCCAGTGATCCTCCAAGTAGAGTTTATAAGTGTATAAGGTCCTGAACTGGCCCCTTTGAATTGCAGCTTTTTGCCTGAAGCCTCATTGTTTGCGTACTCGGACTCGGACCCCTTAGCTAAAGGGAGACAATGGCTAGGTTCAGCATGACGGTGCTAGGGGTTCAGGGGAAAATCTCTGCTGAAGCAACACTTACGCGGCGTGCGGCCAAACACGCAATTACTCGACACCCCCCGAACCAAGAATTACACAACACCCCAGCACGGAATCATGATTCCCGCCGCGCAGAATTACGCAACACCCCAACTGAAGAAAGAATTGTGCAGCGACCCCGCCAAACCCACAGTCACACAATACACGCACCAAACACAGGCTTGAGCAACACCTCTGCCGAACCAGAAGTACAGGACGCAACACCCATTGCATCCACGCTGTCTTCAAAATCACTTGACCACTGGGTGGCTCCCGACATCTTTCGCCGCAGGATAACAGCTGAATAGATCAATGAGAAGCTATCCAAGTCTATATGGCCTGCCCTACTGACCTAGCGTGGCTGCTCAATTGGGTCTCCGTCAAAGAACGATAGTACAGTTGTGATGATATGATATGAGATGATATGATATGGTATGATGTGATATGATATGGTGTGATATGAAAGGATGTGATGTGATATGATATGATGTAATATGATATGAAAGGATGTGATATGATATGATATGGTATGGCTCTTGTTAAGTAATAGTAGGGATTGCTCCAGGGAGGCCTGCGTGGATTCTTCTGAGAAGTCTTTCAATCCTCCAGCCCGAAGACGTGGAACTTCCAGCATCCTCTTCAACACACTCCACTCACGCAAGCAAGCGGCCGTCTCATGCAACCACATGCAACCGCACCGCTTCAGCCGTTACCGCTCGATCCTCTGATTGCAACTTGCCACGCTTTCTGCCACTGCGCACACGACAAAACTGCTAAGCAAGCTGCATGCGCACGCCGCCGCCGCGCTTTTGGCGGCGGGCGATTTGTGCAGAAGCAGGGAGGCTGCTCGCATGGGCCGTGGTTTTGAAACTTTGCAGAAACGCGCTGATCGCAGGCTGTTCCACATGCGTCTTTACTGGCACCGCGGCCCAAAAGCCTTGCTCCCCAGAGCCGGTACTGCTGTTGCGGCTGGCGGCACACCGGCCGCCCCTCAAACAATTCATTGGAACCCGACTTCGTGTACACCATACATCTGCACAAAGCCTCGCTGCGCATCTGCTAAATTGCAGATGTGCCTGCCACTACAGGAACTTGCTAAACAAATCTATAGTCGGAGCTCGAGACCAGACTTGGTTGGATCTCAGATTGATTTGCTTCTGCCGCTTTCAGTATGGCAACTTTCAACGGCTGTCCAACCTCGTCTGGTGCCCGCGGTGTCACTCGTATGGTGACCCGCTCCGTCTGGCGGAATGCTGGGATGACGGAAATGACGGAAATCTTGAAATCCCTTTCGACACGAGATTTCCGCAGCGGTGCATCCGAGCTCGCCAGCCCCGAGCCCTCTGTCCCAGCTGCGCCCCCAAAATGGCGCCATTCGAGTTCTCAGTGAGTCCTAGCACCTGCCCACTCAGTTTTGGAGAGGTGCCAGGGGCTGGCATCCCTACGAGTTGCAGCACGGTGCAACGCGTTTCAGGGGTGCTAAACGCAACAAAACTGGCGAGGCTCGTGGCGGCAGCTTTCATTTTCCTTCGCTGGCTGCTACAACTAGTAATGCTAAGTTACTAGCTATACTGCGCAAGCCGCAAGAGCCTCGCATGCCCACACAGCCGGGGGAGTATGCCCCATGCTTGCAGAGACCCCGGGAGCTCTTCGGGTCCCGAAGCTTCAAAGAGCCTCCTCCAGAGCCGGCTCAAGCCCACTCCACGTTCACAGCTACTCTGCTCAGAGCAACGACCAGCGACTCAAAGATCGTAGTCGTTTAAGCCTCAGCTGCAAGTTATGTCAACAAGTCAGAACCCGGTCTAAACCGAGCGATGTGAGACGTGGTTGCTGTGTTCGCCCCAGTTTGGGTTTTCGCCGAGGAGAGAAAGGGGGAGGGAAAGAGAGAGCGGGCTTTCGCGTTTAGGGACTGGCCGATGCGCAGTGCCCAATTTCTCCCAGTCACGTTATGGGCCCAGTGCGTTTGATTTAGGCCGAGGTGCGCCGTTTGAGACCGCAGTCCCACTTATAGGTTTGCATGCTGTGGAATTCGCTTCACAAAGCCTCTGGCAGCACGCACGCGATGATCAAGAGAGGCAGTGGCAGCACACTAAATACTCCAAAGTTTGAGAGCAAGACGTCTGCCAACAAGAGCCGCAAGTCGTGCACCACTGATTTCGCTCTGCAACGCAGCCCGGAAGCCTTTCTCTGCCTACCACCGTCATAAGAGTCGTAGTAACATGACTGAACATCCACTAGAAATCCCGTTGACGTGCGCTAGTGGATGCCGTGCTGACCAAGAGGCTCTGCCAAAAGAATCGGTTGACGAATCCGCTCCAGCACTTGAACGTGTCATCATCCAAGCGTGCGCATGTGTGGTCCCTTCCAGCAGCCACCTTCACAGCTGTCCGGCCCACCCCTAGGTCGATAAATGGAAGGTTGTCGCCCATCTCGCCGGGGCCGTCGCCAATTTTATATTGTGAAGGCCAAAGTTGAGGATGGGCAAGGCCCAAATTGTTCCAGCCCCAGCATTTGAGACCTCCGCCCTCGAGAATGGCACACACATGCCACCCGCCATGCGCGATGTAGATGGCCTTCCTGGAAAGGTGATCTATACTTAGACAGATATTACAAAACGGAACTGATGGGAATCCCAAGCCACTGACACGACCTTCCAAGACATAGTAAGAAGACTTACTACTACATCATGCGGGGGCGGAATGGGTACGGTATACTCCGAGCTTCCGTGGGGTGCCTGCATTGGTGCCCAAATCGACGACCGGCAAGCCATCACCCATGTCCTCTGGCTGCCTGCCAACATTCGGCGTCACCGATGAGGGTTGACCCCTGCCCAGCTGCCCGAAGTCATTGACGCCCCAACACTTGACCTCATAGGCAAGTCTTTCAATTCCGCAGCTTCCCTGTGCAACCGTACAACAATAAGGATTGTAGCAAAAGCCTACGGATAACTACCGAGACGGATCAGCACTAAAAGGCCCGAACCGAGCTCTAAGAAGGGCCGGCTGGCTGCACCAGTGTTGAGCAAAGCACACGCGGAACGATAGCCAACTGACACTTGCACTGCGTGGAGGTCGGTACCCAGATCGATTGGCACGTACGTTGGTGCAGACTTGGTGTCACCGATTACGCTGCCGCGGCCAAGTTGGCCTTCCCAATTCCGCCCCCAACACGTCAGTTGCCGGCCATCTGTTGGGTGTTGGACAATGGCACATGCACTCTGAGTGCCAGCATCGCCGTCAAGTGCAGGGTTGCCCGCCAGGTCCACAGTAGGCAAGTTGTCACCCATCTCGTCCGGAGCATCCCCGGCCTCGTCATTGTTGTTTCCGTAGCCGCCGCTCACAGCATTGGGTGAAAAGCCGAGCTGTCCGGCATCACTGAAGCCCCAACATTTAACGGACTGATCGTCCAAGATGGCACAGGTGAAATGGTTCCCGGCCATCAGTTTCACGACTTTGCGATTGGAACCTACATCCACCGCAGGCAGCACATCCCCCATGCCTGTCACAGGCCAACCTGTGCCTCTGTTAGCGTCGTCGCCCAAGCCAAGCTGCCCCCGCCTGTTGTCGCCCCAACACTTTGTCTCCTCGTTGTCAAGCAGAGCACAAACGTGATTGCCTGAAGCCTGAGAAGCCAAAGCCGTTGCGGTGCGGCCCTGTCCAAGGTCCACCTTGTTTCCAGCTTGGGCTCCGTAAACGCTCGAACCAACGCACCATACCTTGCTAGGAACGTTGGCGCTCTCCACGATGGCGCAGGTGCCTCTCTCAAAGGCTGCGAGGTTGGCCTGAACGAATGCTGAAAAGTGCGCGCTACATCCCTCTACTCGGCCTGTGCCTGCAAGAGGCCCTTCACGTCACCCCAAGCCCTGTGCTGCAAGCTACTGCAGGCTGCTGAGTCCTAGGCCAATGCTTGAGGGGCAGTCGTCGTTGTGGTGGACGTCCTTGCCGCGCAACTGATGCCTCACAAGCCGTCCGCTGCAAAACAGCAAGCGAATGTGTGACGCTTTCTGAGCATTGCTCCTCTGAGGCCCCGGGCAGGTGTCGGGGGCGATCTCCGGGTTGCCGGTGTACCAGCTCTTATCCAAATACTCGCTCTGCACCCAGGCGGTCTCACAGGGGAAGTCGGCCACTGGCGAGCTGTCGCAAACTTGCTTTGCCGCGGGGTCAGGGATGTGGACTGCCAGGCCGGAAGTGTCGACGACCAGGTCCTGGCACGCCTGCACAGCAGCTTGGGTGAGGTTGCTCTGGAGCAGCTGAATGTAGCAGATGACCTTCTTGGCGGCAGTGTAGGAAGCCTCACGGCGTGAGTCCGAAGCAGCAATGGTGGCTAGCAACTGCAGCCACGTCTGGTTGACATTTTGATAGCACGTGTCGATGGCATCGCAGCTGTCCGTCAGCTGCTGTCGGTACTCACAGAAGTGGCTCTCCAAGGTGGACTGCTCCACCCGGCACTCCTCGCTTCGGTTGTTCACCGCATGGAGGCTGCTGAAGTAGGTATCTTTCAGGGTGACCATGCTAGGTTCGAAGCTGGCAAAGAAGCTACTGATGGTGGCTGCGCAATCGATCATGACCTGCAGATGCTCGGCCGTCTGCGGGTTGTAGCCGTCCAGGTAGGCCTGCATGCAGTCCTTCACGTCTTGGGGCAGCGCTTCGTTGCCCTTGTTAAGGTAGGTTAGCCAGTCGGTTCCGTTCTGGCCCGACAAGGTCTGCTCTGTGGTGCGGCAGGCGTCGTGGGAGTTGCTGGCGCCGCTCACAAGGGTGCTCAGGTTCTGGCTTTGAAGCTGTCGAGACGACAAATCGCTGTTGCATTGAGCGAAGCCCTCCGCAAGGTCAAGGAGCAGCTGCTCGTCTGCGAGGTGGGAGGCGTTGATCTGCGCGAGCAAGCTCTGCATCTCCGTGAGCACGGAGTGAAGGAGAGTCATCGTGGTGTTGCTCAAGCCGAAGTCCTCGCGCGTCAGGTTGTAATCGCTGAGGTTGCCGGCATGTTCCATCTCCGCGAGCTTCTGCAGGGCCAGGGCCTCCATGTCCTTGTGGACCTTGTGGACCTCATCCAGCCTTCCTTCCTCCATGTCTGCTCCGCGCTCTGCCGCGTGTTCCGCCAAGCTGGGGAAGGGCCAAAGCGAGTGCCCGCCGGACTTCCCGGCGGTGACCTGCAGCAGCGCGGCCTGCTCGCAGGTCTCCTCGGTCGCCTCGCAGCCGGGGGCGAAGGACATGGCCTGTGTGGCCAAGGCCAAGGCAGCCACGAGGCCGGTCGAGGCCTCAACAGCGAAAGAACCAAAGAATCCGAAAAAGGAAGTATGGGCACAGGCGCGACAGGTTCTGGAAAGCTACAGTATTCGTTGCACTGCCGAGGCACTGCCAAGCGCGAGGCGAAGCCGGGGAGCATGGTGGGAAGTCCCAGGCACGGCTTTAAGGTCGGTGGGCTGACGCGGCGTCAAAAACAACTTGGGCCACACAGCAGGAGTCACAGTACTAGGAGCATCGAGTCGAAGCAAACAAACAACCTCAGCTACGGCAGCTTCAGGGACTCTCAGTCCCATCCCTGAGGAGGTCATTCGCTCCGCAATCGGGGACACCTCCCTGTCTAACAAAACACCGATGCTTTTTGATCACAGCTCCTCTGCCGGCTCACATGGGCCCATGCACAGCGACTGCATGCCTCAGCGGCTCTTCCCGGCAGCCCTTTTTTGTGGCAGGGCAGGGAGTGGGAGTGGGGAACGGATGTCTGCAGCTCCGCTACCCCTGACAACACACTCGTCCCAAAGGTTCATTCCCTTCTAGAGGTCAAGGCAGCATCCAAACAGACCGTATTTAAGCAGGAGCCACCGAGGACTTCTGGCAAATTCCCTGAACTCCAAAAACAGTAGAATTTCACGTGGGTGTAGCCGCGGATCTGAGCTCCGTGCCATTCCAAATCAAATTGAGCCAAAGGCCTGATGCTTCTGGCAGAGAGATAAAGATGAGGATATGACCGGTACGTCTTCTACTCGTTGGGGCGCAAGGCTTGGAGCTAAATGAACGAAACATCCATGAAAAAGAAAGGGCCGCTCAAAATTTCGGGAGTGGCACAAGGCCATGTGCTCAACGCGGGGCCTCCTTGCGCAGGGACCGCAGATGGGGTTCCCCAGAGTTTGGAGAACTTGCAGTGGCGTGCGGAGAAATGATATTACCCGCGGGCAGCTTGGGAGATGAGCTTGCAACAGTTATAGTGGCAAGTGGATTCAATCGTCTCTGAGCCATCTCATTCTCAAGGACCTCCGATCGCTAAACCACACATGCAACCCTCATCATGTTCCAGCCTTCAATACAGGAACCCCGAAAGGCGGAAGCCAGAACGTCAGGATGGGGCTCTGTGCCGGAGACCTGCGAACCCGTGCGTCCTGAATCCACATATCATCCGAACTCCGAAGCCACTGAACCCCACAGCATTCCAAGAAACTCCTGAGCCCTAAGCATCACATCATCCCAAATCCTGTCAAAATCATCCCAAACCCTGAACCCTACACCCTTTTTGCATCCAGCTCAACCCTAAACCCTAAACCCCAAGTCCTAAGCCGCAAAAGCTGGTGCTGCGGAAAGGGCGGCCTCTGGCGCAGGCAGGGCGCAGGCTCAGCAGCCCAAAACATGCTCGGCCTAAGGGTGTCAGGCTTCTCCGATAATAGGGGGCCCTAGGGTTTGGGGTTTAAGGTTTAGGGTTTCGGGTTTAGGGCTTCGGGTTTCGGCGCTCACACAGGGCTTCGGGTTTGGGGGTTAGGGTTCAGGGGTGTAATACCATACCCTACAGGCCCTACATAGTAGGATCGGATCCTTATTATAAGGACCCCAAACTAGAGATAAGGCAGCCATGTTTAGAAGCCAGGATCACCACCCGGAGCCATGTCAGGCCTAAGGGCTCCACTTGGAGGATCATGGGACTTAGTATGTAGGGCTATAAATACAGTCCTGTAGATATACTTAATTACTTATAACTCCGGCTAAATTTTGTAACCTTACTTACTAGGCCCCATGATCCGCCAAGTAGGGCAGGGTTTATAAGTGTATCAGGTCCTGAGCTGGCCCCTTTAAATTGCAGCTGTTCGCCTGAAGCCTCATTGTTTGCGTACTCGGACTCGGACCTTTTAGCTAAAGGGAAACCATGGCTAGGTTCAGCATGACGGTGCGAGGGGCTCAGGGGCAAAATCTCTGCTGAACCAACCAACACTTACACGGCGTGCGGCCAAACACGCAATTACGCGACACCCCCCGAACCAAGAATTACACAACACCCCAGCACGGAATTATGATTCCCGCCGCGCAGAATTACGCAACACCCCAACTAAAGAAAGAATTGTGCAGCGACCCCGCCAAACCCACAGTCACGCAATATACGCACCAAACACAGGCTTGCGCAACACCTCTGCCGAACCAGAAGTACGCAACACCCCTTGCATCCACTGGCGCACTGTCCCCTTGCCCACCTGGCCCAGTGGCCCCACTCGTCCTACGTATCCCACTGACCTCACTTAGGCCCCGCCTTACGGAAGACAATCTAGCTTGGTACTGGCTGCGCGGCATAGCGCGAGCGTACCACATCAGCCACACAGGCAACTTTTTGCAGCCTACTTTGAGTATACAAGGAAAGATACCAAACAGGCCTTGGCCGGGTCCTTAAGTTGGCACCCCTGTCCTGGCCCGAGGGGCAAAGGTGAGGATGGGAACTGTAGATAACTTTACGGCATTTCCTTCTCAGATTCCCGGGTTCCCGATTCGTAGGGCAAGGCCTTGCCACTCCTTGGACTGGGGAGCGAGTGGGTTTCTGGCAGTACTGCAAAGAGCCACAACACCGGACGTGTGACACCCGAGGTTCTGGCGTAGAGGACCGCCACCAACTTGGCCTGTAGATGCAGTGCTTCTGTTCTTGCACCCAAAACAGGACCAAGACTACTTCTTGGTTGCGGCTGCGCAGCCGTGCAGAACCTAAACAAGGTAAGTACCTCGGCGGCGTCTCGGGAGAGCTGCGCAGTGTCTCCCAGAGCCTGGCCATTGGACATCAGAAGTGTGGAGTAAACAGGGATGGACTTCGGAGCACCTCTTTCCCGTTACCCGAGCTGAAGTTGACGCTTCGAATTTGTCGAGTTCGCCGGCACTCGGCAGCAAAAGAGGGATTTGTAGATTCTAAGAAATCATATTGCGACGTCTAGCTTGACTATGTCATTCTTTAGGTTCTTGTGCTGACTCCTCTTGTCGCTCCGACTTCGCTGTTGGAAGCCTGATCTCTGCTCTTGCTGCAGCAAGGACGGGAAAGAATCCGTTGTCATGTTGCTGTCAGTTCTTGTTGATGCTTCCGGATGCGGCCGTGATGGTAATGGTGATGGTGATGACCACACAGTTGTTGTTTCTGATGCTGGGACTGCCTCTTCGTCACGGCGTTCAGCAGACCGTTGATGCAAGGTCCGCGGATTCCTGCAAGGCTCTGACAATGCAACTCTGCTGGACGCTGCACTCCGATCCACCTGTCTGATGTCTGAGACCACCAAAGTTCCGCGTGCTTTGCACATGAAATCATCTCTGCGAGTCTGTGCCTCCACACGATTCGGACTGAAAGTTTCAAAGCTGTCTTCAAAATCACTTGACCACTGGGTGGCTCCCGACATCTTTCGCCGCAGGATAACAGCTGAATAGATCAATGAGAAGCAATCCAAGTCTATATGGCCTGCCCTACTGACCTAGCGTGGCTGCTCAATTGGGTCTCCGTCAAGGAACGATAGTACAGTTGTGATGATATGATATGATATGATATGATATGATATGATATGATATGATATGAAATGATATGACATGACATGACATGACATGACATGACATGATATGATATGATATGATGTGATATGATGTGATATGATATGATATGATATGATATGATATGATATGATATGATATGATATGATATGATATGATATGATGTGATGTGATGTGATGTGATGTGATATGATATGATGTGATATGGTGTGATATGAAATGATGTGATATGACATGATATGATATGGCTCTTGTTAAGTAATAGTAGGGATTGCTCCAGGGAGGCCTGCGTGAATTCTTCTGAGAAGTCTTTCAGTCCTCCAGCCCGAAGACGTGGAACTTCCAGCATCCTCTTCAACACACTCCGCTCAAGCAAGCAAACGGCCGTCTCATGCAACCACATGTAACCGCACCGCTTCAGCCGTTACCGCTCCATCCTCTGACTGCAGCTTGCCACGCTTTCTGCCACTGCGCACACGACAAAACTGCTAAGCAAGCTGCATGCGCACGCCGCCGCCGCGCTTTTGGCGGCGGGCGATTTGTGCAGAAGCAGGGAGGCTGCTCGCATGGGCCGTGGGTTTGAAACCTTGCAGAAACGAGCTGATCGCAGGCTGTTCCACATGCGTCTTCACTGGCACCGCGGCCCAAAAGCCTTGCTCGCCAGAGCCGGTACTGCAGCTGCGGCTGGCGGCACACCTGCCGCCCCTCAAACAAGTCATTGGAACCGGACTTCGTGTGCATCATGCATCTGCACAAAGCCTCGCTGCGCATCTGCTAAATTGCAGATACGCATGCCACTCAGGAACTTGTTAAACAAATCTATAGTCGGAGCTCAAGACCAGACCTGGTTGGATCTCAGATTGATTTGCTTCTGCCGCTTTCAGCGTGGCAACTTTCAACGAAATGGGTTTCCTTGAGAGGAGCTGTCCAACCTCGTCTGGTGCACGCGGTATCACTCGTATGGTGACCCGCTCCGTCTGGCGGAATGCTGAGATGACGGAAATGACGGAAATCTTGAAATCCCTTTCGAAACGAGATTTCCGCAGCGGTGCATCCGAGCTCGCCAGCCCCGAGCCCTCTGTCCCAGCTGCGCCCCCAAAATGGCGCCATTCGAGTTCTCAGTGAGTCCTAGCACCTGCCCATTCAGTTTTGGAGAGGTGCCAGGGGCTGGCATCCCTACGAGTTGCAGCACGGTGCAACGCGTTTCAGGGGTGCTAAACGCAACAAAACTGGCGAGGCTCGTGGCGGCAGCGTTCATTTCTCTTCGCCGCTTGCTACAAGTACTCCTACAGTTACGAAGCGATACTGCGCAAGCCGCAAGAGCCTCGCATGCCCACACAGCCGGGGGAATATGCCCCATGCTTGCAGAGACCCCGGGAGCTCTTCGGGTCCCGAAGCTTCAACGAGCCTCCCCAAGGAGCCGCCGACTGGTAGACGTTCAGATGTTCAAGCCTTGGCCATGAGGCAGGAAGCCCCCCTCTATCCTTTATAATTCGTCTCGCTGAGAGAGAGAGAGACGCCAAAGACAGAGAGAGACAGAAAGAGCTGGAGAAACAGACACAGATAGCACAGCTAGATGCAGCATCCACTGTTGTAGAAGCTGCTCTAGCACCGGAACGGGCCGTAGCAAGAACAAGCCCCATAAACCCACACGTCGCCGCCTAGCATTGCACTTCTAGAGGCCCTTGCCCTGTACGTGAAACAAATTGAAACAACGAGAAACAGGAAGGGAAGCGGTGCTAGCTGAGAGGCTCGCCCAATCTGTCGTTAAGCCCCAGCAATGCCATGTGTCATCATCCAGGCGGGCGCAACTATGCGTATCGCCACCAACCACCTCCACGGCCGTCCGGCCCATTCCAAGGTCAACGAATGGGAGATGGTCACCCATCTCGTTGGGGGAGTCCCCGACTTTATCATCTGACAAGCTGGGATTGGCCTGGCCCTTCCTTAGAAGACTTGGAATGGCAGTGGATACGATAGATATAGACATAGATATAAAGATAGATGTAGATATGAATATAGAAATAGAAAAGATTCAAATATAGATGTAGATATATCTATATTCTATTTACATATATATATATATATAGATATATATCAGTTATCATATCATACATACACATATATATATATATATATACATATATATATATATATATATATATATGTATATATATATATATATATGCTACCCCCCCATGTCCCCACGCTTGGTGCTTGAATTGTGCGGGATCGTCGTCGTGGCCCTACAAACCTTTCCAATCGCCACTATTCTTGGTTATATGCAAAGTACACGAAAGCACTAATATTTTCGTCTATGCCAGCACCAAGTGTAGTTTCACTGTTACATTTACCAATGATGCTCTTCCTGTGACCAGTGTCTTTATTACTATGGTTACACTCACCGTTCTGATTGCTTCAGTAAAACCAACCCAGCTAACACTCTTTATTTCCATCTGTCTTACTATGTCTGAATAAACACTTTCCTAGGTACGTAACCCAGCTAACACTCTTTATTTACCCCTGTCTTAGTATGTCTGAAAAACTTTCCCACACTAGTCCCGTGGCTATTGGTCACACTGTTTTCATACTAGCCCGACCTGTCGGAGTAAATGTATTAGTTGTTGAATCCTACGTTTGTTCACATCTTGATAAAATACAAGCCTACGAGCTGCAACTTTTCGAAGATTTGCACTGTGCTTGCACGATTTGCCAACATACACAAACACACGCATACTGATTCATAAGCTTGTTGTTCTCGCTCTTGTATTGATATCAACTGTAAGCTTTACATGTGTACTCTGAGTTTAGGTAATCTTTAGCCTATGCATCGCATGAAATGAATCATGTCCATCCTATCGAGCTGGGGCCTGTCTGTTCTTACAGAGTCGCTTACAAGTTTCGCACCTGATGATCAATAAGGACTCCTGTATGTCAGAGTTTTGTGGTGACTGTACTGGGTAGTGCTCTTTACTGTAAGCACCAGTTAAACACGTACAAAAAAGAAAGTGCACCAACTAGAGACACCCCCATGCAAGCATGAAGCAACACACGTTATACATGTACCTTTAGAAAAGTGTAAGCGAAGCCAATACGTTTTCCATTTAACACTAAAATTCCCTTAGTGAAGGCTTCAGTCCTAGACAAGAGTAGACGATACGTCTAGTTCCGTACACGGTAACGGACGAAGACGATCAATGAAGTGGTCTTCTTAAAGTACCGTCTTCAGGCAGAGATTCATGCCTAGTCTTGACGAACATGTTCACAAAACGTGCAGCAACTTATATGCATATGTAATCACATCGCAAGAGCACATGTGCCACATGTGTGCCCAACACTTGGATCCGGCCAATCCGTCAAACTACAAAACTAGCGGTTAGGCTGACTTAATTTCAACAAGATCTTTGCACATGTCAAAAGGGTAATAACAATTCTATCAATATGAACTTGAGCTTTCCTAGTTGTACCACGCCGCTGGAATGGAATGCATGTGCTAGCCTACATGTCTAAACAGTAAAACACAAATGACGGGATGAATCACTGCAGTCACAGATAACGTAAATGTTTTCTGACAGAGTCAAACA